CTTTTTTTTCACCCCTTTCACACCCATCTCATCTCGTTCAGTTGGGTATAGGAACTCAACCAACTCACCCCAAGTCGTTCTTTCCCTCGCTATGACATGCAGCTTTCCCCATTGCCTCCCCATCTTTTTAACTTCACTTTCTAGTCTCCTTTTCTATGTGTGTTTTTTTTTTTTTCGGCCTTTATTTCTATGCCCCTGTGGGTTCCATTGCAAAGATATTCTAGTTATATTGTTCAGTGGTGGATCTTGGGGGTGGCTACCTCATTCTGTGAAAACAATAGCTACGTAGATCATGGAAAAGAGCAAAACTGGAAAAAAGGGCAGGGGTGGGGGTTCTTCAAACAGAAGAATGATTATACGTCTTAAGTCCACCTAGGGTAAAATGGTTACATGAAATGTCGGGGGCAAAAAAAGGGGAGGGGGCGGGGTCGGCGATAAGGTTCTAGAGTTGACTGGTTTATATTCATGTGGGTCTAGCTAGCACAGTATTGTAAGCAGGTCAAGTAAAGGTGCCTGGGGGGCGAGGCTGAGTTAAAACCTTGGGATACCCTGAACGCTTGGGAGGTTTTGGTCCCCTCACCCGAACCTCAATAAACTTCTTAACAGCATTATGGGCCTTGGGCAAACCACACACACCAATGAAATGTAAATAGTCACTTATGCTGAAAGGAGACACGCCAATCACTTATTCATTAGAACTCCAATATTCGTCGTAAATTCGTTCCTGAGAGGAAGATGATAAAACGGTGAATATCAAACGAATTTTTCCCGCAGGAATAAATTAAAAAATGATTTCATCCGTCACCAGTCCCGAATTTTGCCTATCTATTCTTTAACAACAACAAAATGTCCCTCGAAAATTCATCTCCAAAATCACTACATATATATTTTAATTACATAATGACCATGGTACTTATTATTGCTTTATAATTATGACAGAAATTTACTCACGTTGATGACACAAATAGGTAGAAATCAATACGTAAAAAAAAAAGTTTAAAAAAAAAATAACCTGTTGGATAAAGAAAAAAAAAAAAAACACTAGATATTTTTTTGGAAGGTGGGTCATCTTCCATTATGACATTAGGTAATGTCATAGTGTCCGTGCAAGTTTCAGGCTTGTGTAGAGTTCTAATCACTTTAGGTCCCTGAGTGCAGGGACTGGCCAGCTGGTGCTGCAGAATCAGAAGTTCAACAAATGATACATGACAATTCCCGCCCAAGTGATAAGATTATCTATACAGATGGCTCTGTGTTGGTGGGAGGATTGGGGGGGGGGCGGGGGGGGGGGGGGGGTCAGAGCAGACGAAGTGCAGGGGGTTGATACCAAAAGCGAATGGACGTCGCTTATCTCAACAAATCCTTGCATATGATATCACAACGTTTAGTTTGAGAATGAAGGTGGAGGCACTCACTGCTGCCTTCCGCTGGCTTGAGAATCAGCTGTTCATACATGTCGTTGTAACTGACCCAGAGAGCATGTTGAGAAAGGTGGTGACAGGCATGCTTCGTGAAGAGTGGCAAGCATCACTTCAGAGGTCTAGGGTAGCAAGTAACCTTTATATATTTTCTCTGGGTCATGCCTGTGTGTTGGAAAAGGAGCAGGCGGATAGACTGGCCAGCTCTGCACGACTTGATGGTGAATTGATGCATGACAAGCTAGATATTTTGAGGGCCCTTTAGGAACGAGTGAACAGTGTGGAGGCACAGACAGATCATTACAGTATGAGGAGAATGGCGGCACGAGGAGTTACCAGGGGATCTGGCAGACGCTCCACACTCAGGGAAAGGGCGAGACTAATATATAAAATCAGACAGTTACTGGTGCCATCGCCATCGGAACTCTTTTCTTGCTGAAGATGGGGACGGAGCGCTTATGGGAGTGTCCCCAGTGCTGTGATGTTGATTCTTCATTCAACATTCAACATTATATCAGGTTATGTCACGTCTGGTGACTGATATCCTAATGATTCATCAGCCTTTTTAGACAATTCACCAACATCCACTTTAAAAAAATAATTTTTTTTTGAGACGTTATCAATTTCTTTTATTTTTCATTTTCTGGAGTGTCTTAACACAACACCATTACATGAATTGATACGCTGATTAACTATAGCGATGTTTGTGTGCTATCACAGGATCAAAACTTGAACTTTTGCCCAAGTGGACAGCCATTCCTTAATTCCAGAACTTAGAACTGGCCTATCATCTTCGTATTCCTCGTCTGATGAAATTTTGTGTTGTTGCTTTAGCCTCCTGTCCTTTGTGAAGCTCGAGTAGCTCTTGTGTTGTGAAATCCATTATGTGATCCTTTTTGGGGGGCACACCGAGGAAGAGGGACGCATATTGATTTTTTTCGGGAGCATGTGAAACAAAAACAGGACGAATTGGAAAAGAATATTTGCGTGGAGGAATATTAGAATTCAACTGCAGGGCTCGTTGTGTATCCTTTACAGGACGTTGCAGAGCAAACCCCAACAAATTCTGGCTGTTGTGTGTTTTTTCTAGGCAAATTTACGTCCAGGAGTTTGCCATTGCTTTTTGGACGGTCGGCTTTCTTGATACCACTGTCGAAACCAACGCAAGGCGTATGGCTTGCAGCTGGGATCGAACCCGGCATCCCGGCATTACGAACATTCGCATCGACTTAGCCACAGAGCTGACAATTCAACTATACTTCACATACAATTTTAGCTTGAGTCGATTTGCAAGCCAAGATCAATTTTGTTTTTAAATTTAAACATTTATTTCTATGGAGTTGTAAACACATGAAAAGCTGGCCAACAGAATGACATCATAGCCATTACGTTGACACTGCGCCAATGATAAGCTATTGTGACCTCTGAAATCATATCGCCGTGCTGTTCAAACAATAGCCCAATATTAAGAACAATACATTGACTAACTCCATTTCACATGACAAGATAAGCTAACGTTATCTCATAAAGTGTGCCGGGTAAACTCACTATAAATATTGTTACCCTAGATAAAAACCACATACTGGCTGAACATGCAAACGGAGAAATATCCACTCTCTTGAAGTAATTTTTTCAATGGACACCTGCAGTAATTTTCTCTGAATAAGGTAAGCATACAATATTCTTCAAATTATAATTTAATGAATTATAGTTAACAATTGCTTAAGTAATACTATCTGATTTTCCTACACAAAATCCAAATAATGTTTACTGTTTGTATTATCACATTATAGGGATCAAAGGGCGGGGAACTAAATGATTTAAATCCACCCCAAAGTGAAATCTTTTTTTAATAATGAATCTTAGAATAGAGGTCGTGCCAGCCTTAAATGGCAGAAAAAATCTTTGATAGAGAAACAAGTTTCAATTGTGTTGTTGTCAACGTAGCAATCGAATGTCCAAAAGTCCATATAGATATATAGGGGACTAGAAATGTATATATATGTCAGATTTGCAAATGGCTTAAACGGTTATTTTTTTCATTATCTTTTATTATTTAGATTTGGTATACAATAAATTAATATATATAGTTACATTGTTTTGCAGAAGTAGCTGTGGCGTAGAGGCTAAACGTTCGCGTGCGGATTGGAACGTCGTGGGTTCGCTTTGGAGGAGCCGGACTTTTTTTTCAAAAATTACCTTGACTCCCAGGTTGACCCAGCATTGGGTGTTTACCTGGTGCAGTCCCTGGAAGTAAAGGCGATCCTGACCACATCACCCATCTTGTGCCTATTGGTCTATAAAAATATAGGTCTAGCCCTATATGCTCTATACTATATGCCTAAAGGCGTTAAAAAGGGGACCTTTATTTTTTTTCCTGAAGAAACCAAATGTTAGTTACTGTTAACCCCCACAGAGTGTCTAAAAATGGTGCCGGTACTCACCACAAAGCGTCTTTAACAGTAGGACTGAAAACAACAAATCTGCATAACAAAGATGCCGCTACTGCATACTGTTGCAAACCGCCAGAAAAAAATAAGCCCTGGTTATGATAAACTAAAGGTAAAAACTAGGGCTGTACCGAATATTGATTTTCACTATTTGGCCGAATACGAATAGCAGGACCAACTATTCGACCGAATACGAGTACGAATAGTGTGTTACCATCATCAGGTATCTTGCCGACTGGCGTGGTCGATTATGCCTCGCCACAATCTGCGATCTCCTGCAGCATGTATTAATTCGTGTGCTGACCATAATGTTAAAACTGGATGTATGTAGCAAGCAATAATTTTTTTTCTAATTTTCAATGGCAAAGATATATTGCTTAAGATGCTCTTCATTTTATAAAATGCAGTTTTTGCCTGTCTTATTCTGTTCCTTATCTCAGTAATGCATCTTCCATCTGATGTTATCCATGTGCCCAGATATTTAAATTTCTGTAATTGTCCTAAAATAACACTATTGACTTGTATTCACATTTAGGAATAATTATTTTCTTTGATACCACCAATACTTCCGTCTTCCCACTATTCAAACTAAGGCCTATTCTTCCACTTTCGAATGGTGTATCAAATAGATCTGAAAAAAAACATTCAAATGTCAAATTATACTTCACAAAATGTAGTAAAGAATAGTAAACATTTAAAATCATTTTATGTTTTGCATCCTTTAGTCGGTCAGTCTGTGGTAACTAATATCTAGGAATGAAAGTATTCTTAGTTTTATAACAAGTAACTAAACCTGTAAATTGTCACTGACAGCTTAGGCAAAAGCAACTATCGCAGTGTATGCAGAAACGGGTGTAAGGTAACCACCATTCGTATTCGGCCCGACCGCAAGTATTCGGCCGAATACCGAAAAATTTTGAGGTCCACTATTCGGCCCCGAAGCGAATACGAATCGAATATATATATACAGCCCTAGTAAAAACCTAATCTTCTGTTGTTTTTTCTTTTCAGGAACAGACTTTGATTGATCAACCAACTGGCTTGCAAAAGGAACATTCAACCAGTTGCAGACAACAACTATTCATAAATAATCCTCAAGTCAAACATTTTGTTTACCACTTAGACGTTCATCATGCCGTACATCGACTACGATGCTCTAGAGTCCGCCAACAAATCGTTAGCTGTGGGATTCATTGGCATTTTCTTTGCCAACAGCGTCCTCATTCGTAAGATATTCAAAAAAGGAGGATGTTTATACACTCCAAAAAGCCTCACTATGATATCCCTGGCCATTGGTGACATATTTTTGGCTTTATTCTCCTTATTGGTGTATGCAAGAATTATTTTTGACGACTTCAATCCATCTTGCGCCACTTATCGAGCGTCTGTTGTGTACATGTATTTTCTAATTCATTTTGTATTCGGCTGTGGATTGATAGTACTAACGGCTGAGCTAGTGTACAGGTACAGAACACAGTCTCCAGTAGGACGAACACCAAAAAATATCACCAAGTCGATCTTCTGCAGTGCTTGCCCATGGATTTTGGGAGTCGTGGTGGTTCTTCCGATTACAATGGCTCCGTGTTCTGAGAATCTTACCATGGGAAGACAACGGACCATGTATGGTGTATCCGTAGTATTCCCCGCTGTCGTGTCTTTTGTCGTTGCTGTCGCTGCTATGTGTATAACAATACCTACCGAGTATTACTTCAGCCATAGTGTGAATCGTCCTAGCACTGAACAAACAGCCTTATCAAACGGAAGCAACACGAATGGAATAGCCATACAATACAGTGCGACAGAGAGTCGTCAGAACCAGCCCAGAATTGTAGTAGAAAAATTCCCGTCGCCTGATGCGAGTAATGTAGATGGATCACAATTAAACCCCAGTCAAGATGTTTCAGGAATTTCTGCATTGCCTTCAGCGCCAAGTAATGACTCTAATCATGAAGGCCAAGGTTTCTCTGTTCCACAGTATCAAGTACCACAGTACCCTATTCAACAGCAGTACCCACCAGCACAGTACCCGATGCAACAGCAGTACCCACCAGCACAGTACCCTGTTCAACAGCAGTACCAACCCGCACAGTACCCTGTTCAACAGCAGTACCCACAGCAACAGTACCCTATTCAACAGCAGTACCCACAGCAACAGTATCCAGTGCAATACACAGCCCAGTCTAATGTCGTCGTTGGTGCTCCAGCCAACCCCATTCAATATGGCTCGGTTTTCCCTAATCCAATCAAAGAAAGAAGATTACTTTTCTTATCCACTATCATTTATTGTATATGCGTTCTACCTTATGCCGTATACACAATTGGAACCCTGGTCGATGATTACACAACTACATCCACTGATATCATTCTGAACACAACATTCTTTTGGTTGTCCATTTTTAGGTCATTCCTAACGCCTTGCATTTTTTCGGATAGTCCCAACCACGTATAGCTGGCTACAGTTTTTTTCTGGTGAACTGAATACATCTTGCATGACTTTTCGAGATTTGATTTGATTTGATTCGAGACCCGACATCACAGCACTCGGGGCATTCAAATAAGCGCCCTGTCCCCATCCTCAGCAGCCAGCGAAGAGTTCCGATACTAATGGTGCCAGTAGCATTATGATTAAACGTTCGTCTTGCCTTTAATTTGAGCCTCGAGCATCTGCCAGAACCTCTCGTCACTCCCAACTGCATTAATCTCACGACACTGTGGTGATCAATATGTTCCTCCAAACTGTTATAGAGAAATTTGTGTATATATGCGTTGTCTAATTCGGTATTCTTTAACAGGTGGGCAGCCACACTTTTTTGCTTCATCGTGTAAGGGGGTATGGAAGATAATGCTTGACTTCCATGATTGCAGTCTGTTGGATTCACTTTCTTCTTTTGTGATCTCACTGATACCAGGTTGTAGCCCAGTGTCGTTGTTTTCTGTATTTGTCCTGCGCTTCCTGGGTGTCTTGGTTGATGAATTTGTTCATCTTTTTTGCTACATCATTTATTCATATCTTTCTTGGTACCCTCACCTTCCTCCCAGATGTTCGGCTGTAAAAAGTCTCATATTCAGTTTGGTCTGGCTGCATTCACTGTTAACGTTGCTGGTCCGATGTTCCCAAGAGTCTGTCCTATATGTTTTCAATATTTCTTGTGTAGTAGCAATCAGTTATAAGACTACCGGCTTGCTAGTCCCGTCAAGTGGTGAGGCAGGAAGAAAATCTGGCCTGGTTGGTGCCCGTCTCCTTCGAGGCGAGCCGTTGCCCCATTAGCATGCAATCTCTTGAATTAACCTCTCAAATATGAGAATCAGAAAACATCGCATTGGCTGAGAGTAGTAATTTTGTAACATAGGATTTAAAAAACGAACTGCTATGAAATTTTATTTTTGTTTCTGTGTTTGGTTATCTGTCAGGTGGTCCCTTTGTCTTGGTGGGCTGCAGGTGTGACATAGTTAAGGGACACTTGCCTATTATTTTTGTTTTCGGTTGTTGAGTGATGATACTAATGGCTGAGCTTATATGCAGTACAGAGCAAGTCTTGATTCTCAAAAACGCTGACAAATCTCACGAAGTCTTAATCTGTAATCTTTAGTACATAGACTAGCTCCGTGCGTTCGATCTTCAAGATTTATGTTGTGACTGATATGCTAATCACTAGTTTCAGTTGGGAGACAAGGATATTGTGTGTAATTTCCACTCACACATGAACAGATCAGTTATAAGGCAACCCGACTGCGGTGATTTTAGAGCCTCAATTAACTGCTAACTAAAATAACAAATAGCAATACACAACGTTGCCAAAAAAAAAAAAAAAAAACGCGCTGACACTTAATAATAAATCAACATAATGTAAAAAGACACTTTGCAATGTACTCGCCCATTAGACATATGATGCTAGACCCATAATGTGTCTGGAAACATCTGGTTCTATAGTCTGCTCCAGAAGTCGTGCTCAAATTAAAAAATCTGTAACTCAGTAACAGTTGGCGTGTGTTGAAATGTGAAAAACAACCTGTTAATGATCATGTCACTGAGAGATTTTGTTTTTAAATGTAAACAGATATCTAGTTTTCATTTAGCCTTGTTTGTATAGATGCAATAACAGATTTTGATTTAAAGCAAACAATCAACATGCTTAAAATGTTTTAGGGGTACACAAATTATTGATCAAATAAAGATCAAAGAAACTCGCTGCTTCAAGAAAATAACAGCACCCGAGCAATTGTAAATTAGAGTCTTAAGAAATTGGAAAATCAAAGACCATATTTAACAAAATCGTGTTGATGTTTACATAAGTTTTTGCTCTTGTTTTGTTGTTGTTGAGATATTTGTTAAAGTGTGAGAGCGCGATTTTACAACGAACTATAGAATCATAAGCTTTATACACTAAGGGCGTAAAAATGTCTTTTAGCTATTACTAGTTACGAGTCTCCATTCTGTCAACAGCTCCTAATGAACTGTCTCGATTTGCGGTATTCAGTCATTAAACAGTTTTTGTGGCTTCAGCAGTCTATACCCCCATACTGCCGATGATAATTTGTATCATCATTATTAGATAAAATATGTGTTTTATCACATTATTAACTTGTTCAACACTTCTGAGTTATAATTAGTGCAAAAGTAAGTACCCTTTTTCCCAGCTTTTATGCGTATTAGGCATATAGGGCTAGACCTATATTTTATAGACCTATAGGTTCTTGGTGAGTGATGTGTTCAGTATCAAGTGGTATAATTAGTGAACATAAATAACATTGGGAAAATACTAAACTGAATCCCAAATGCCACATTCAAATTCATGGTCCACACTTCGCAAGAGATGTCCACGCCAAGATTGGCCTTATCAGTCACGACCTCACCGTCAATCAGCAGCATTCTTCACAGTAAGTCGTTCTCATCGCAGCACGCATGTACCCCTCTCTCTCTCTCTCTCTCTCTCTTTCTCTAGTCAACTCGCAGTCCTGTGTGCTTCCATAACCGATTCATTTTCAGTGTCTTTTTGTCCACCTTCGGGGTGACTTTACGCAAGCTGTACCCTCCAGCATCGTACTCTCTCCAGGTCACCATGATGTTAAACGTGGCCAAAATACCTCAGCTTTCCGGACAGGATTGGGTTTATGGTTAGTCACTTAAGTCAATGGGGGCCGAAGCCTGTACCGGAGAATTCATAATCGGGCACTGAAACCTGGCCTGGAGAATTCGTCATTTGGAACCAAAGCCTTGCCCACAGAATTAGTCGCTGGGAGGAGATATCATCGCCTGTGTTATCGAAGTCAACCTCTGTCTGTCCAAGGAGAGACAGAGTTCGAAACGAGAACATTAGATCAATTGTAGGAACCACACCATGCCTGCAATACATAAAGAAGCAACAAATAGAGTGGTTTGGCCACTTGATGCGAATGAAAACCGACCAACTGCCTCTACGAGCATACAACGAACAACACTACTGCCCTAGAGCAAGAGGCAGACCGAGAGTACGATGGATAGACAATATATCAGAGATCCTGAGGCAACACGGACTAACAACAACACATGCAACACACCATGCCCAGGATAGAAAACTGCGACTCCCCACTACGCTGTGAGGCAATTGTGGACAAGACAAGACAAGACTTAAGTACTCATAAATGTATTTGACTTTACTGCTCAAGTAGCTTAACGATAGCACTATTACCTTCACTTTCGACTTACTGAATCTTTTAAAAGAAAACACACACACACAAACCTGCGTCAGTTTCTTTAGTTACACGAAGTTAGATGTGTCTTAAAAGACGAGGGCTGCATGCAACGGTTGTAGAAAATCCAAACCTGTGCCAAACAGCGAATCAGCTTGTTTAGTTACACGAAGGCAGAGAGAGAGAGAGAGAGAGAGAGAGAGAGAGAGAGAGAGAGAGAGAGAGAGAGAGAGTGAGAGAGAGAGAGAGAGAGAGAGAGAGAGAGAGAGAGAGAGAGAGAGGGAGAGAGAGATCTGCATCTAACGGCTGTAATTGCTACTAACACTGTCCATTGCAAACGAAAAATGCATTATTTTACAATTTATAAATCTTGTTAACTATTTATTACAAATAGCTGGGCCCGTAAGGGCTGTAGTAGTAGTAGTAGTAGTAGTAGTAGTAGTAGTAGTAGTAGTAGATTTTTACCCCACCAGGACACCACACAAGCTATAAACACCCGATGACACAGCAGTGCCACCATGTGGATGAGGATCACCCGTAAAGAGGTCCCAGAAACCGCGTTCAGCCATTAGACCATATTTATGGTCGGGCTATATTGCGGCCCCTGACAAGAGCCATATGGGGCATCAAAATAGAGAAAAATTGCATCTCACAAGGTGTGACGTGACGCGTGGTTTAAATGTTTATGTTGTTGAGTAGGGATCTTCCTTTCAACACATTCTCTCCACTAGATAAACCGAACTAAAATCTGAGCTATGTTGCTCTCAGACAAAGTCCTGGATATCCAAGAAAACAGCCATATTGGCTCGTTAAGTATATTAACATTAGCTGAACTTGGTACCCACAAGAGAAAGCAAGGAATTTTAGATGTCTATCATACTAAATGAGTTATTAGACAGGGCAAGTGATTCCTCCGTCATCTACCTTCTCCCGGTGTTATTATGAATAATTAAAGAATTATTATATTATTATTTGAGCCCCACCAAATGGTATTCTATCCTAACAGTTTAATTAAACATGTAAGAACAGACATTTGGAATTTAACAAACTATGTAGTTTAAAACTTGACATACAGCTTTATTTACTACAATGAAATTCCCAGTTTGTTGATTTACACAAACAGTGACTGGTTAATGAAAGTGATACGCTTCAGCGAGACAAACAGCTCGGGGTTTAGAGTGGTATGATAATGATGATAAAAGGTTAACATAAAGGGGTTAACTCAACTTATAAGCCTCTGACAGCCGTGAGGAACTGTCAAGCTTGTCCAACTCTTCCTTGCCTGTTGTCTGCCTGTTTCAGCTTATTCTCCACTTCATCCCCACCTCGTTCTCCACCTCGTTCTCCACCTCGTTCGCTGGCCTCTACAGTCTGTGGTCAGGAGATAACATTCTGACACTGGCATGAGAATAGAATTCCTAGCTACAGTTTAAAGTTTTAGGTAATATTACCCAAGGTTGGGTCGCTTTGTCTGGACTAAGGACTGGAAACGTTTAAATCAATACGGTTTAAAGTAACATTTGGTTTAAGGGCATAGTCTCTTGTCTCTCAATAACCAGAAGAACTTATTCCAAGTACTAACTTCTGGAATCACTGAGATCGTATCGTGACAGGCCCTCCGTTAAGTTGGTTGTAGCGCGCTTAAGACCAATTTTACGACACTTAGTGATTCCCAAGAATGTTAGTCCAACCTGTCATCTCCAGTATTGTTCCAGTATTCCTTGTGGAATCGTGATGTCCTGTATCGATGTACAGTCACCAGTTGTCCCTCATTCCACA